GATAAAAATAAAATTTTTCATATAAACAGGGTTGAAATCTTGAAATTCCTGCCCGTAGTTTGTTTGTAAGTCAAATATGAGTGGCATTGTACTACTATGATAGCACGGCCGAGTAATCATAACCAACTTATGTACAGTAGTCGAAAAAATTATATCCGCACCAAATTTTGACAAGTTTTAAAATATTATTTTTGTTGTTTAATTTCGGTTAGTTTTTTATAGTTCGTTCTTTACCAACATCCGTATAAATACAAGTTTAAAGGCAGTGTCGAACAATTGGGTATTTGCTAAAATTTGGTGTAAATCGTATCCCAATTGTTTGAACACCCAAAATATTTTTCACTATCCCAATCACGAAAACTAATTTATTGAAATTTTTCAATAGAACATCTCCGTATTGCACCAATCTTTTGAATGCAAAAAAAAAAATGTCCCACTTTTCTTTACCAATAGCCCAATATAAAAATTTACAAATCTGTACAAATGTACCAATCGAGTGACAGTGCCTTAAAAATTTATGCAAAACATCTACAAATTTTCGTTAAAATTTCGAGTTTTTTAAAATTAAATTCTGAGTATGCAGTTTTGTAGCCCATTGAATTCTAGTAGAATAAAGTACACGTTTCAAATGGCTAAAAATGTCGATTGATTTTTTAGAATTTTTAAAAGTTCGAAATTTGTACGAAAGTTTGTTGATTTTTTTTTTAATATTGCACAAATGAGTAGTCCACTTGCAAACAGCGTTATGTGATTTTATAATAGTGATCCATAAATAAAAAAAAAAAACGTCTACAACAACAAGTAACATCCAAATTGTATAGTTCTCTTCATTATTTGAAAATTGGGATAAATAAGAGCCAAATAACATTAAAAACCAATATGACAATGTGGTAGTTTTTGCAAATTTTATATATAAAAATTGAATATAGCGAGTTTTGGAACAGTAACTTTTACATAGCGATCCAGCGTTGCCAGGTTGACGTTTTTAACGTCATTTGGACGTTTTTTGTATCCTGTTGACGTTTGGACGTTTTTTATGTTAAAAATGACGTTTTTTAACTTCCCAGTAATTCTCTGTTACTAAATCTTGCAAGTGGAACTGATTTTGAATTATTTTCTTAATAAATCTTTACAAGCTTTGTGTTTTACAGCAACTGCTTCAAAAGATATTTATTCTTTGGACACAGATGACTTAAATATGATGCATACCAAGCGTACGCGCATTTTTTTTGATTCTTGGACTAAGGATCCCGTGCTCAAAGGCTGGTTGTGTAAACACTTGAGGTTACGAGGCCTTTTGTAATGTTTGCAAATGTACATTAAAAGCCAAATCAGGAATAGCTGTTCTCTTGCAACACGCACGCTAGCAAAAGCATCAAAAAAGCTGCAGCAGCATAAAAATTCAGAAAAAGTAGGCGACTTTTTTAAGACTTCTTTGAAAATGTAATGAACCCAAAAAAGGCTGAAATATTGCTTTGCTCCTTCTTAACAGAACGTAATTTAGCATTTTCGACAACCGACCCCCTTACCAAATGTCTACAAGAAAAAACAAATATTAAAAATCAACGCGATTTTTTAGCCCCTTTAAAATTACACATTATTGCCCTGAAATCTAATGGGCTATCAAACTGCATACTCAAAAAACTTAATTTTTGCACAAAGTTTGAAATGTGGATTTATATTTTGTTTGTTATATGATGAGATTTTATGGCAAAATAATAAACATTAAATAAACAAACGAGGAACAGCCAAAATCGATCAAAATGGTGATGACTTCATCAGCTGAATGTATAAAATGATTCTTATATTAACGATCTCAAACCAGTTTACAATGAATTTTAAATGTGCAATGATAGGGTGCATTCTAAAACGTCAAAATACAAAGCATCAGTCTATTTTATTTCTAAACCTCAGTAGATTGTAATGCCAAATATGCGCATCCACGGTTAGATGCTGGTTTTCTGCTAGGTTGCGTACGTTAGGCTTTTTCTTCTAGTGCGGTTTAGAAAGAAAAGAGACTGATGCTTTGTATTTTGAAGTTTTGGAATGCACCCATATATTAATATACCTTACCACCTAATGCACCATAAAGGTTTGCTCATTAGTGACATTCGAGTTATGACACTCCCTACAAAATCTTTGCACACACACGCGAACTCACACAAAAAGCCTTGCTAAGGGAGCCGATTTTGTCAAGAGGGAGCGAGAAAACTGTTTTCCGAGCAAACCTTTTATTATGGAATCATGAGGTAAAACCGTTCTCTTAATTCGTCGGCCATGATTTTTTTTAAGGTTTCGAACATTTTAAAATCATATAAAATGTGAGTTTGTGTGTAAAACTTTAAAATTAAATTGCTTGCAAACGTCAAGAATTTGAAAAATTCCTCTCAGCGGTTTTACCTTCCTATTTGTTTTATCATGGCGTGAAGTGTTTGGTGAAATTTTGTATTTGCCTTCTGTCTGTTTCGCCGTGCTGCCGGATCTATTAAATTAGGCTGTTAATTGCGACATACTGGTTTCAGGCAAAAATTTACGTCTTCAATATTCGAATGTCGTTGGCAAGGCATATTTTACCTTTGTCGCTGGCGTTTAAAAAGCCATAAAGCACTGTGCAAGGCGGATTTATACATTAGCCGTCATCGATTCGCCAACAGTTAGCGAGTGGCGAAACGAACTTGCTCAATAAGAAGCTAACTCAATTTCCAATTTTTGTTCTGCGTGACATTTTGATTTGACGTGTCGCTCAATGAAATCAAATGCAAACGCATGCAAGTCAATTTCGGGTGACGCAAAAAAACAAATTCGACGGCATGCGTACCAAAACGCAAGCCGCGAATATTAGGTTAGCCTGTAAGGTACAACCAAACTCGCTATCGTCTATCCAAGGCGAATTTATACAAGGTGGTGTTAACAGAACAAAAACAAAAATTGCAACAACAAATTATACGCTCCTTGACAATCAGTACAAAGCCAAATTACAACAAACACATGATATTGACAAAAGGTACAAATTCGCCGTGAAATCAGCGGATCCTATAACACCACCCATGAACCAAAAATACAAGATCACGTAAGAACGCGACGTTGTATTTGTAACTGGTTTTGAGAAAAAAGTTTGCGAAAGCGGGTTCGTCAGCTGAGCGTTTGTTTACATCACAAGCACCACTATTTTACACTTTTATTCAAGTAAAGAAGAGTTAATTCAACATGAGAACACATTTTAAAGCATTTTGTTTCATCATTTTACCTAAATTGTGCGTTTAAAGTGGCTGACAATAATTTTGGCTAATTTTGGTTTTCGTTGTTTTCTTTGCTTTGTTTACTTTTCGCTCGTTTTCCAGTGAAACAAGATGGCGCAGAACCCGCTAAAAAAATCGACTTTTTTCACTCTCCTGTTCTTACGTGATCTTGTGTCTTTCGTTCATGAACACCACCTTGTATAGATCCGCCTTGCGTCTATCCGTGCTCATCGATTCGCCACTTCTCGCTCGCTATGTTTGAGTTCCGGTCGCTTAAAGAAGAATTTTGCATGTGAAAGCAACAACAAAAGCCGCCATCGATTCGCCACTTCTCGCTCGCTATGTTTGAGTTCCGGTCGCTTAAAGAAGGATTTTGCATGTGAAAGCAACAACAAAGTTAGCAAGCACGGATAGACGATAGCGAGTTTGGTTATACCTCATTGAGTTCGTTCGTTTCGCCACTCGCTAACTGTTGGCGAATCGATGACGGCTATTATGTTTTACAGGCGAATTTAGATTACAAAAGCAACCACATGTATCAAGGCCAATTTATACAAGGTGGTGTTACTGGCGAATTTAGATTACAACAACGACAACCACATGTATTTTGTATTGCGGGTGTTATGTCAAATTTCAATTCGCTCCAAAGTTTGCATGTATTTTGTTTTTGCTTTTGATGGGAGTGCTGTCGAATAAGTTAAAGCAAAAACAAAATACACGTAAGGCAAAGAAATCAAATCTCAATTCGCCCGAAAGTTTACATGTATTTTGTTTTTGCTTTTGATGGGTGTGCTGTCAAATCAGTAAAAGCAAAAACAAAATACATTTAAGGCGAAGAAATCAGATGATCTTACAACACCACCTTGCATAAATGCGCCTTGGTTAAATAAGTAAAAGCAAAAACACCGACAGCTGACGACAGCTGAGTTTTTCGCCGTGGAGAGCATTACGTCAAAATGATGTGTTTGTTGTAACTTATACCAATGACAGTATGGATATCTGCTTTTAATTTGTTAGTGTAACACCACCTTGTTAAATTCACATTGTGTATGGCGAAGAAACAAGCTGATCATACAACACCGCCAAAACACCACCTTGTATAAATTCGCCTTGTCCGGCATTGTCACCAAGGCGAATTTATACAAGGTGGTGTTGTAAAATCAGCTGGTTTCTTCGCCTTACAAGTATTTTGTTTTTGCTTTTACTGATTTGACAGCACACCCATCAAAAGCAAAAACAAAATACTTGTAAACTTTGGGGCGAATTGAGATTTGACATAACACCCGCAATACAAAATACATGTGGTTGTATTTGTTGCAATCTAAATTCGCCAGTAACACAAAATTCAAGGCGAATTTATACAAGGTGGTGTTGTAAAATCAGCTGATTTCTTCGCCTTATATGTATTTTGTTTTTGCTTTTACTGATTTGACAGCACACCCATCAAAAGCAAAAACAAAATACATGTAAACTTTGGAGCGAATTGAGACTTGACATAACACCCACAATACAAAATACATGTGGTTGTCGTTGTTGTAATCTAAATACGCCAGTAACAGCACCTTGTATATATTCGCCTGGACCAAATTGTATAAATCCGCCTTGCTTGTCCTGTGCGATTTATATTATTAAAGTAAAAAATTCCGAAAGAAAATTCGCCTTGGTGATACGAGTACTTTTTTTTCGATACCTACTCAATACTTGGTTCATAAGTATCGATTCCAAAATTACTTGGTTCGAACAAAACTTATCGAGTGTGTACTTGTATTTACTCATACTGTTTCATCCCTATTGCTGACAAGAAAATTGCCGTGAATGTGAAAAAGTAGACTATTATTGCAGAAAAAAAATTGATATCACTTTTAAAACGAATTATTTAAATACTTCTTATATAAAAAACGAAGCACAATTCTTCTTTTGGATGGAAATACTCTAAAATAGAAACTAGTCGCAGTGAGCGCGATTTAGTGAAATTATTACGTGTGTTGCCGAGGTGGTGTACGTGAAAAAATGTGCTGAGCGACGGAGACGGAACGAAGGCCTATGCTAAAGATTGCAATACATTGGCCCTTATGAATAATAACTAATCAACTGTTTTTAATTAAAAATTCAGACCTTTTACTTGAATTTCTTTGAATACATCGCTAAAAGGTCTTAAATTTTAAGAAAAGGCAATTGCTTTTTATTCAAAAGGTCCCTTGGTAATCATTTATTACTGATTTTATGGGGTTAAGATATTAATGCGCGGATTGAAATATATGTGGGTTTTCTTCGGCCCCTTAATTAAGGGGCCAAAATAAAAGGTGAAAGCAAAAAGAAATTTGACGCTCCTCAACGAACATATTCCCTAATCAGCAAATAAGGAAAAAATACGAGAAGACAGCAACGAAATAAAAAGGGCAAAACCGACTGGGAAGGTGAATAATCGGTGCCTGTTCAGTGCGAAACAATCTCAAATTGTCGAAAGTGCTGCCAGTGAGGCATATTTGTTATTTTTTTTTTATAATTTTCAACGAAAAAACCACAAATACTTGGGGGGGATATAAAACCAAAAGCTCGAAACGACGACCATTGTTGGCCAATTCCGCTGCGCAATTTCCAAATTACCAAATCGAGCAAAACATATACTAAACGCAATAACAAATATATCACCAATACGAAAACACGAAAAGAGAAAATAAGAAATTGTCAACGTCATTCTCCAATATCGCTTTCGATTTTCTATTCTCTTTGGACACAACTCGAACGAATTTTCGTTAATTCGTTGCAATTGTCACGATTCAATTGTGCGAATTATTATTTTTTCATTTTTAATTTGGTTTTGTACATTGGCCACTCGTGTGTGCGTGTGTGTGTGATCCTATTCTTCGGAACGCTTCATTCAGTGCTGTCACTGTCCTTGAAGCCCACTCCCGAGAACAGATCCCACATCGTGTGCCGTTGCCGTACAATCTTTGAATGGGACACCAGCTATGAACCAACTGAAATTCACGCTAGCGCAGATTGGTATTTTGGTCAAACAACTGAACAAGAAAAATTTTGCTGAAACCAGTGAGAGCATAAATCAGGTAATTTTGATTATAAACATAAAATTTTTCATAATAATTTCTTAATAATGATAACGATCCAAAGATCACCCATATGTACATATATGTTCATAAGTATAGGTACACCTACACACCATTATGCCCCGTTAAGTGCACTTTTACTGTAAGCTATTGTGTGTTCAACAATGACATTTATTGTCATGTTACAAGCGCGAACATTGGTAGGTTGAAGGCAGTGTTGATAATTATAGCGGAGGAGGTGCATCATCACCGTACCACTTGATCAAATAACGACACCTCGTAACTACTCGGCCATATCGGACCCTTCGCTTGTTGACTGCTATCGTTCATTCATTGAAAGAAGTCACGAATCGCCACTGAACAGCCCCATTTCTTTTGTTTGCTCTTGACTGTTCTGTTTTTCGTTGCTACTTTGCAGCTATTTTCTGAGTGGGTGCCGTATTTTCGTTATTGAGTTCGGCAGAAATTTCATTGTACATGCTTATACTATGTTCACGTTGAAATTTTAACTTGAGTTTACCGTTTTGAGTTATGAGCAACAGTCGGGGTGTTTAATAAAATGAGAATTTAAAGCCAAAATACAATAGCGCAGTGGCAGTGACAGTTCTTAAAATCAGCTGTTACTAGCTAATATTGGCAGTCACTGTCGTAGCGAACACTACGGCGTTGTGACTGACTGCTTTTGTGACATTCCCTTTTGTTTGTTTACATTTTTGTTGTTGCTTTTTAGGCTTCAGTGGCATCAACAGATGTTGTCTGCGTTTCATTTATGTCAAATTCAGCATGCGAAGTTTGCTGCGATGAAGGGTGCGGCAGTGAATTTATTTTTTATTTTTTTTTTGTGGGTTTAAAGTTACTCCCGTTCCCTGTATGGTAGAGGAGCGGCAGTGAATTTAGAATTTGGGCTAAACTCATGATTCAATAATACAAGGTTAGATAATTATTGACAGCTGCGGTTTGACACTTCCTTACAAAAGGTTGCATTTACGAAGGACAGAGAAAGGGCAAGGATGCAATCCCTTGTTGCGAAAATAGTAGTAGAAAAGTACGCAAAGTAGGCAATTAGTAGTGAAATTCCTTTTGTAAATTCTAATGTATTTGCAGGAAATGTGGCATTTTAAACGAAATGTTGAACGCAATATTGATATATCTACGTGAATTACGTAATTTATGTGCTATTTAACTGTATAAAAACTGCAAAATGACTCAAAATTAAAATAAGACTACTATGAGATTGATGTAAACGTCCAATGCTTATGTTTTCATCAGTTAAATATGCTTCATATGCATATACAAATAAACATATTGCACAAAAGCATATACTTTTATTTCACACCAAAGCTACACTGTTTCCATGTAAAATTGCAAAGAAGCAACACGGTGCCACTGCTAAGGGAGCGGTGCGAGAGAGACAACTGTCAGTTTATCGAACCTTGTATTATTTAATCATGGGCTAAACTGAGCAGTACTGCTAGCTGCAACTGCTGTACTGTGACTCGCTTCATTGGACACCACACTTTCTAAAAAACAGATGATTTCGAAAAACTGCCACTGCCACCTCGTTATTGTATTTTGGGCTTAATTTGACATTTGTTTGTTTACTTTTTCTATCCACATTTAAGCTGAAATTAGTCAAGAGCTCAAACGCACTGGTATGTAAACCCGAGTCAACTGACACGATCTATCTTACCAGAACGTCATGTAAATGAAAACTCAACAACGCAGAGTTTTTCTATAGTTGTAGCCCGTAGCGCAGAAATCTGGGAAATTTAGATTTTTCCGTGTCAGCTGATTACTTCCTTCTATAGATGGTTGCCAGTTCGTCAGTTTTGCAAATGGTGAAAAAATCATAAGTTCCTATTAAAAAAACGTTTAAAATATTTGAAATTTGCTATCGAATAAGGTTTTTTCTTGAAAAATAAGTACTTTATATTTAGCTACGATCTGTTATAGCACGAAAAATTGGAACTGAAAAGGTAAGTTTACGAAAAGGCATGGATGAGTGGCAACACTGTAGTAAACAACACTGAAGTAAACAGCTGGTTTCTGCGTATTCACTGCGGGCTCCGGTGATCGACAAAATTCTGCGTATACAGACAGCGTTTAAGTGTAAGTTCTGCCTTCTTGACTAATTTCACCTTTAGCCTGTTCCCGTACTCCAGGATTTAGACAGAAATAGTCGGCAGTAGCCCTGGTGTAGAATACCAATCGTTTAACCATAAAGAAATAAAAATTGTAGCTAAATAAAACTTCTCACGCTGGTTTCAACCATACCAAGATTTTTTGGCGCAAATAAAAACGAAAGCCAATAAAAGAGGTTCAAATTTAACTATTATATTTTTTATATATATAATATCTCGGAAACTATTTGACCGATCACAAACATATTGATGCTAACTTAAAGATAATTTAAATACCTTACGGCGTGTTTACATTGGACAATGATGTTAAGACAATAAAGTTCTACGTATTAGTTGTCAAAAACGCTGATAATTGTCTCCGTGGCGTAGACGCCCTGACAATATTGATGACAATACATTTTGAGCAACGTTGAGTTATAACTTGCAGAAATACGCATTTAGCGCGAGCTATTTATGCTAAAACCCAAAAAATAAAGAACAAAGTTACATACACATCAACGTTTTCTCAGTCATTATAGTTCTTTTGTTGTGAATTTCTCTTTCTTGCACAAGACGTCAAAATTATGGTCTGCATACGTCAAATCACTGTCCGATTTACTGTCTTTAAAATTATCAAGACAGGGATTGAGACAATTGGAGAAGTATGCATGTATTGCTATTCGCATGACAGTATTGTCCGGTGTAAACCCTAAGTTATACGCGACGTATACAATATAAACTTTTTGAAAACAAATTTTAAATAAACGCAATTTTAAATATATATATATATTTATATATATTTTGGTTATTACGTATTTCTGGCTTAAAAATAAAAAAAAATTTAAAAAATTATGTATACCTAGTGAAATACCCCCTAATTACCTCTATTTTGACGTCATTCGTTTTTAAAGGTTATATTGTTCAGAAGATACTATAATTAAAAAAATCAAAAACTTTTAAATAAAAAAAAAAATATTAAAAACAAAATTGGCGAGATGCATGGGGCTATTTTGATTCATTCCATTTTTATTAGAATAAACTTTTCACAAAACATTTCAAAATCCAGATGGCTGGAAATATCAAGCTTCCGCAAAATCCGCGCCAACACCAGCATATGGAAAGCGCCAGCTCCATTAACACCAAGCAACACATTAGGTATACACACAATTCGCCTCAACTCTTAATCTTAATTTACACGTTCTTTGTTTTTGCTTTGAGTGCTGAGAACGTATATTTAAAGCTCTTACTCAATAATGATGAGAATATCGTGGCAATTAAATTCGGTAGGCGGTACAAGCGTTGCTCATCGCCGAAAATTATAGAAATAATAGACATGACACCACTGTATGGTGTACTACACTTAGTGCGTTCCAGAACGTCTACGATTTGCAGGTTCTGCAGGATTTAGTCCAAAGACGTTCCCGTACGCCACGTTTACATAAAGTTTATTAAAGACGAAAACAGCTGTTCCTGTAAAACCTGCAAATGGTGAAGTACGGGAACAGGCTAACTGTATGACGACACACAGTACCCTGTGGTGACACTCAGATGGCGCCGTGTTCATTCAGTACACTGCGATATTGCGCTGAGTTAGGCTATCTGCACACTTGTCGTCCAATCATAGTTGCGTTATCGTCTCGCCCTGAAATTTTGAGCCGAGCACATGCATTTCAAAGGAGATCTGCCCACTTGTCGTTATCGGCTAGTTATCGGCAAATCGTAGAAGATGCAGAAACGGATAAGTACGGCACTGTCGTTTTGCTAATCGTTGTGCACGCATTGTTTGTTTACATTTTATGGGGGAAAATTAGTGAAAAAGTTAATATTTGCATTAAAATTGTATAAAAATTAGTATTTTTTTGCATAAAATCTGTGGAAATTATTAAAAAGTGGATAATTGCATTAAAATTTAATAAATATGAGCGTTTTAACTATAAAATATGACGAAATTGTATTAAGTCTCTGTGTGCATACACAAAACACATTCCAGGAAAAGAAAAGAAGAGATATTACTGGAAAATTACGTCTAGAAATGTTGCAGCATAGTCTATATTTAAAAAATTGCAGGTTTTTGTAAATATTTCGCGAAAATATCAACCAAAAAAAACAGAAAATACCTGCTCCAAGTGAATTTTTAGACGCCAAATGAATTGAAATATCACGACCAAGTGTGCAGAAGTGTAATCGTCATGTAATCGTTGCTTCATGACGATAACTATGACTCAACTATGATTGGACGACCAATGAGCAGAAAGCCTTAGTGTACTGCCATTTGTAATATCAATTTAGAAAAAAGTGTGTGACGCTCGTAATTTGAAGTTTGCTATTTCTGTTTTGCTTCTTTCTTTATATGTATTTTGTCGGGGGTTTATTTCGGTGATTTTTAAGCGATTTTCAATAAATTTTTGTGCAAATTTAATTAAAATGAAGTGTGCGGTGATTGGTTGCAAAAACTCGTACAAAAATAATAAATTGGTTAGCACAAACATGTGGTACAAAATTGCTTGCATTGTTTTCTTTATGCTTCATCTTCATATTCTTTGTTTACTTTTCAAAGAAAATAACGGCGCCGAAATTACAAACGTCAGCCAGAAAATTACTTTTTTCTTTTGCTTCATCTTGTCAGATCTTGTGTAGTTGGATTATGTACTGACACCACAGGTGGCGCTGGCGTTATTGAGCTAGCGCCAAAAAAATGCGCTATTACCCATGGCTAGTGGTGGCAAAAAATGAGCCTAGCGCACATAGGCATTTGGGAAAATCCGTTGCCTAACACCACAAACCTCGATAAATTTTTGCGTACATACGGTAATTGCGGGAACTTAAAGAACTTTACACTGCTTTGTTTGCAGAGAAAAACGGTATTAGTGCAGCCGCTGA